AGTAGAGACGGGGTTTCACCACGTTGGCCAGGATGGTCTCGATCTCTTGACCTCATGATCTGCCCGCCTCGGCCTCCCAAAGTGCTGGGGTTACAGGCGTGAGCCACCGCGCCCAGGCCAATTTCACTCTTTTGCATATTGGCACCTAGTTGTCCCAGCGCAATTTGTTGAAGAGAACATTCTTTCCACAGTGACCTTTCCTAGTATATTGAATTTTGAACTTATCCATTTTTGCTTAAACTTCCTTTAGCCATCTGAGAATGATTAGGGATATTTTTGGGAAGTAGTGATCTAACTTTTTTTCTGAAAGGATGGGTGTGTGAAACAATATCATTGAAATTATTTCTTCCTGGCTGATTTTAAATGTTACCACTCCCTTATATAAAATTTCTGTAAATAGTCCATGTCAATTTCTGGACATTCTCTGCTTTTTCAGAATAAACCTTTATTCTAGAATTAAAAAAAAAATACTTTGCTACATTTTATTCTGATTTTATATTCTATTTCTTTCTTACTAGACCCCTGGGTTTTAGTTTCTTTCTCACATCCCATGTTAAATTAAAAGCATAAATCATTTGAATACATCACTTTGGGATTACTAGCATATCAAGCTACAGATCTCCTCTCAGAGACATTTATGTGTCATGTACAAATTTTTTCCTTATTCTAACACAAAGACGGAACAAGAGACACTGAAGCCTATCTGAGGGTGGAGGGTGGGAGGAGGGCAAGGATCGAAAAACTACCTATCAGGTACTACGCTTATTACCTGGGTGATTAAATAATCTGTATACCAAACCTCCATGACAGGCAGTTCACCTGTATAACACACATGTACATGTACCCCTGACCCTAAAATTTTTTTTTTTTATAAAAAGTCTCCCAAAAGAAATGTGAAAAAAAAATTGCCTTATTCTAAATAGTCTTTAGTGGAAGTTAGTGTTCCTCTTTGATGCAAGAGTAATTTGTAAAAGATCTTACTTTTATGTGTAAATGGTTTGATGTCTTTAAATTATGTCAGGTATTCCTAGGTGTATTTTCAAATACTATTATTTGATTTTTTTGTTGTTTCTTCTTTGGTTTAGTTTAAGAAGGACTCCAATGTGGCCAAATACAGGACATCTAATATGGTGTGGCTGTGTCCCCACCCAAATCTCATCTTGAATTGTAGCTCCCACAATTATCACATGTCATGGGAGGGACCGGGCAGGAGGTAACTGAATCATGGGGACAGGTCTTTCCCATGCTGCTCCCGTGATAGCGAATAAGTCTCAAGAGATATGATGGTTTTATAAAGGGGAGTTTCCCTGCATAGGCTTTCTCTTGTCCGCCGCCATATAAGACCGTGCCTTTCGCCTTCCACCATGATTGTGAGGCCTCCCTAGTCACATGGAACTGTGAGGTCCCCAGACACATGTGTGAGCCACATGGTGAAACACCATCTCTACTAGAAATACCAAAAAAATAAAAAATAAATTAGCCAGCATGGAGGCACGTGCCTGTAATCCCAGCTACTCCGGAGGCTGAGGCATGAGAATTGTTTGAACCTAGGAGGCACATGCTGCAGTGAGCCAAAATGGTGCCACTGCACTCCAACCTGGGCAACAGAGTGAGACTCTGTCGCAAAACTAAAAAATTAAAAGAAAGAAAAAACGCCATGGAAAACATTATTGTGACAATGGGCAATTCTGAATATGGATTATGTTATTAGATAACAGCCCCATGCAGTGTTCAATTCCCTGATTTTGCTAATTACTGTAGTTCTGAAAGAAAAGGTCCTTGTTATTAAGAAATACACCCTGATTTGGTGGTAAATGGGCACAATGTCTGTCACTTACTCTCAAATGGTTAAAAAAAAATTGTAATGTATGTAAAGAGAGACAGAGTTCATGATAAAGCAAACAGGGTAAAATGTTAACTTTTGGTGACACAGGCACAAAATACACAGATATAAAGGAGTTCTTTATACCATTCTTGAAGCTTTTCTGTAAATTTGGAATCTTATCAAAATAATTTTAAAACAAAACAGAAAAACAAAAAAGAGCTATGTACCATGTCTAAAAACAACCCCAATAAGAATGCCTAACATTTCACTAGAATTAAAATTATCATGGCTCAAGGAAAGAACTACGTCAACAAAAAGCTATACCACTTTCAAAGATGGAAAGAATTAAATGTTCATTCTCCCCCAATTTAATCTAAATTGAAAAATTCACACAGTTCCAATCAGCAGCTGCTTATCTTCCTGGACATCCATTCATGGCACACCTAACCTTCTGAAAAACAGCAGATCACAGCCAGATCTCTGTGAAAATGAGCAATCACTCACATCTGCAGCTGTTGAAGCTTCCCAGCCAGGACCACCACAGCCCCACAGCCCCACTTCCATCATCAGGGTAAACCCTATGTACTGAAAGAGGAAAAGGATGTCGTTGGTGGCCTGTCTGCAAGGGCATGGCAAACTGGGGCAGCAGAAAGTCTTCACTGTCTAGCGGAAAGTAAAATTGAAGCTTTGAGCTTCTCAGGAATGAGAGGAGGTGGCCAAGGGGAAGATCACTCAAGACCATTCCCCTCATTTTTTTCCATTTGCACTTACCAGTATCTTTTTTTTGTTTTTGGTTTTTATTTTGTTTTTGTTTTTTTTTGAGGTGGAGTCTTGCTCCTGTCACCCAGGCTGGAGTGCAGTGGCTGCAATCTCGGCTCACTGCAACCTCCACCTCCAGAGTTCAAGTGATTCTCCTGCCTCAGCCACCCGAGTAGCTGGGATTACAAGGAATCCGCCACTATGCCCGGCTAATTTTGTATTTTTAGTAGAGACGGGGTTTCACCATGTTGGCCAAGCTGGTCTCGAACTCCTGACCTCAGGTGATCCGCCCACCTCGGCCTCCCAAAGTGTTGAGATTACAAGCGTGAGCCACCACGCCCAACCAGCACTTACCAGTATCTAACACACCAACATACCATGTATTCTATTTATCACATTCACTGTTCACTCCTCCTGTCCACCCCACAACTAAAATGCACGTTCTCCGAGGGCAAGTACGTTTACCTATTTTGTTCAGTCCATATCCATGGTGTATAAAACAGTGACTTGTGTGTGTGTGTAGGGGGGGGAGTAATAGCATTTATTCCATGAATATGACTACAGCATACACACATACACACACATACATGTCCACACTATATCTGGAAAGATAAAGATAAAAATTATGTTTGCCTGTGAGCAAAAGAACTGGAAGACAGTGGTGGGAGAATATTTGACTGACTTTGTACCACTCTTAAGTTTTCCTATATGTGTATCTATGACTCAGTCCTCTCCTGCTCCCCAAAACTCTTAGTGTTAAATCACTATGTTCTGCCTTGGGAAAGCAAATTATAGACAAATGTGCATATATAATCTGATTCTATCGGGTTGTATGCACATGGCGAAGTAACTGTATCAAAATCTAGGGATACAAGGAAAGCCCTGCCCCTGAATCTTATCTCCCACAATCCCGGCTCCTGGGCCTATCCCAACCCACCCACATCAGACACCGTTTTATTCATACCCAGATCCCTGCCCCTGGAACTGGTCTCCACCCACTGCCCCATCCCTAGGCCTGGTGCAGCCCACAGTCCCGCCCCCAGAACTGGTCTCCGCCCACAGCCAGCCCCGCCCCCAGGCTTGGTGCCACCCATAGCTCCGCCCCAGAACTGATCTCTGCCGATCAGCACTGCCCTCCAGGGCCGGTACACCCACAGCCTAGTCCCCGCCCTCTGCCTTGCCCGGAACTGATCTCCACCCACAGCCAGCCCCATTTTCCAGGGCTGGCACCACCACCGCCGCCTGGTTCCCGCTCAGCCCCGCCCAGAAAATGGAGGTCTCCGCCCCTGTAACTGGTCTCTGCTCAGTCACCCCAGCTCTGCAAGCCTTGTACCATCCGCCCCGAGAACTGGGCCCCACCCACAGCCCCGCCCCTGGAACTGGTGTCTGCTCAATCACCCTCGCCCTCCAGGCCTGGTACGGCCGCAGCCGGTTCCCCGCCTTCAGCCCCGCCCCGGAACTAATCTCCGCCCACAATCAGCCTGGCTCCGCCCCCAGGGCCAACCCTGCCCACACTACTGCCGCAGGCCAGGGCCCAACTTTGTGCCCACTAAGCAAACTAGAACACCTCTGCCCAAGGCTGGGGTGCGCGGCCGCCGCTCCCGCCCGCCGCGCCTGCCGCCTAAGCGCCGAACCCCCAACACGCTAGACTCTGCGAGGCTGCCCGTGTGAGCCGGAAGCGGACATGTAGCGCGGCTCTTCCCAGACCGGAAGCGGAAGCGCGGGGCGGTGCCGTGGGAGGGGCTGCGCGTGGGGCACCGGAGAGCGAGTCCCTCCGTCCCCGCGAGTCGGCGCTTTTGGCCCCGGCGGGAGGGGCCGGGCTTGGTGAGCGACTGGCGGGGCCTCGGGTCCGAGTCCAGGGGGCGACGTTGGCCGCGGACACCGCCAGCCGTGGGCCCTGCATCCCTCCCGGTAGCCGTGTTTCTGTCCATGAGGCCTCCAGCTGTGTGCAGGCAGGTCAGCGCGAAGCTGCTGCTTGCCCCTGGATCGGGGCCCGCGCCGTTGTCGCCTCCTCAGAGAGCCCCAGTCGCCCTCACCCAGGGCGATTCTGCGCCCCAGGGGACTTTTGGCTGTAGCTGGAGACGGCTGTGGTTGTCACAAATTGTGGGGAGGGGAGGCTGCTACTGTCACCTAGAGGGTGGAGGCCGGGGAAGAGGGGCTCTGCTCGCTCTTAAAGATTCTACGTTGTACAGGACAGTCCCCCACAACAAGGAATTATCAGTAGTGCCAGGTTTGGAAACCCTGCTCTAGGGCCTTAAAAAAAAATACCTACAGTTCTGAATAAACCGTATACATTGTTAAAAATTCAGCTTAGTCACTTACTAGGGCCTCTAAGTGACAAGATATTTTTAAAGCCTCTGGAATCACCATAGAAGCTCTCTCCAGTCTAATAAGTTGAGCAAGTCAAATGCACACAGCGTTAAGCTGCTTTCTCCCCTCTTAAGGAGCAGATGGCCGGATAGGAATCAGGTAAATCCAGTCCCGGCCCACAGGCTGGGCCTTTATTACACGTTTAATCATTGAGTACCCAAAAAAGTGAATGGGATGGTGTTTCCAACAGCTGTGTCCAACAACTTTACAACCTATACAAATCCTGGAAAGAAATCTTTGTGCCTCTTTTTTTTTTTTCAGATGAGAAAAACATCATTCAAGCTCAGATTCGTGTTGAAGCCTGCCGCAAGGTCCACCTGTCGTCGTGGATTTGTGTGTGACCAGGTGAGTACAGTGTGGAACCTACAACAAGGTTCCAGCAGGCTCTGCTGTGTAGAAGAACTGCTCATGGGCTTTTCCTGTGCTGGGGTTGTAAGCACATGGAAGTCACTAAGAGTGAAGATATCTTAAGGAAAGTTCAAGGTAAAAAGACAGAGGTATTTTCGGTTATATGTGTATAAATAAGTAAATACAGTTACATGCAAATAAATATCTACAAAACAGACATACAAATAATGTAAAGATGTGTAACTAGCTAAATGCAGATTTTCTGGTGTGCTATGATGCTTAAAGTTTCTGGATTTTATATAAGTATAAATGTAGAAAATTTTACATGTATATGTAGTGTTACAAGTCTCCCCACTAACAACTAGCAGGACTACTCAGCAACATTCTTCAGGCCTGTTTGATTTGACTTTTTTTTTTTTCTTGAGACCAAGTCTCACTCTGTTGCCCAGGCTGGAGTGCAATGGAGCAATCTTGTCTCACTTCAACCTCCACCTTCCAGATTCAAGCAATTCTCCTGCCTCAGTTTCCTGCGTAGCTGGGACTACAGGCAAGTACCACCACGCCCAGCTAATTTTGTTTGTATTTTTAGTAGAGACGGATTTTTGCCATGTTGGCCAGGCTGATCTTGAACTCCTGACCTCAAGTGATCCATCTGCCTCAACCTCCCAAAGTGCTGGGATTACAGGCATGAGCCACTGTGCCCGACTGTCGATTTTATTTCTAAAGGCATATCAGCCTCCACCAAACTTCAAAATATGAGGACATTTATAAAAAGGATGATTTGAGCTTTCTTACATTAGTAACAAATTTAAAATTAAATTGACTGGCAACCAGATGTGTTTTGAGCAGTGGGATTTTTTTTCCCCATTTGGAAGAATATTAAGCAACAACTTATAAATTGAAGGGTAGGGCACTGGTTTCCAAAACGATTGTCCTCTGCACCTTGCCTCCTGTATTAGTCCGTTTTCACACTGCTATAAAGAACTACCTGAGAGTTTTCACACTACTTTAAATAACTTCCTGAGACTGGGTGATGTATAAAGGAAAGAAGTTTAATTGACTCACAGTTCAGCGTGGCGGGGGAGGCCTCAGGAAACTTACAGTCATGGTGGAAAGCAAAGGGAAAGCAAGGCACGTCTTACATGGCTGCAGGAGAGAGAGAGAAGAGGTAAGCGTCAGACTTTTAAACCATCAAATCTCACGAGAACTTACTGTCAGAGCAGCAAGAGGGAAGTCCAACCCCATGATTCAGTCACCTCCTTCCTGGCCCCTCCTCTGACATGTGGGGATTATTACAACTGGAGATGAGAGCTGGGTGGGAGAGACACAGAACCAAACCATGTCACCTCCTAATAGGAATTAACTTTGTTTCTTGAAACTTCTGTGAAATAACAGTGTGGTGATTCATATTGCAGAGAATCATGTTAAGTAATCTTGTATTAAATGGTGGGGTTTTTACTGATTGTGTGTGTGTGTGTGTGTGCACCTTTTACATTCTAGCTTTCTTGCAACACTCTTGAGGGAATGTTTACTTATCATGCAATAGATATTATTTGAGTACACAGTTTATGGAGACCAACCATCCTCATTTATTCAGTACCAAGGGATTTGCTAGGGCACAGGACATCCAGTGTTCAAACCGGGACAATCCTTGGCAAACCAGGTCACCTCCATGAGTCAGGTCCTGGGTCAGATGCACGGGGACCCTAGAGGACCTGAAATGGCCCCTGTCCTACCTCCGTAAAGTTTACCTTCTAACAGGGAAGATGAATGTTAAACGATGAATGACAGGAGTGATGTGTGAGCTTGGCACAAGTGAACTTGATCAGAGGGAACAGGGAAGCTTTCTTGGGAAGGATATTTAGCTTGAGAGCTTCAGTTGTTATAGAACCGAACTGGGGTCTTGTCACCTGGTGGTACAGTGAAACCAGATGTCTATATTGAGGGTTGCTGCATCAGATAGAAAAGCTTTTATTGCAGAACACTAAGCAAAGAGGACCAGACCATTAATTGTTCAAAGCCTGGCCTTCCCAGTGGCTGTTAGGCAAGGAATTTTTTTTTTTTTTTTTTGGAGACGGAGTCTTGCTCTGTCACCCAGGTTGGAGTGCAGTGTCGCAATCTCGGCTCACTGCAATCCCCGCCTCCCAGATTCAACCAATTCTCCTGCCTCAGCCTCCTGAGTAGCTGCGATTACAAGCGCCCACCACCACACCTGGCTAATTTTTGTATTTTTAGTAGAGACATGGTTTCACCATGTTGGCCCAGCTGGTCTTGATCTCCTGACCTCATGATCCACCCCCCTCAGCCTCCCAAAGTGCTGAGATGGTACAGGCATGAGCCATCACACCCGGCCTTTTTTTTTTTTTTTTTTTAATCAGACAGAATCTCTATTGGTCGCCCAGGCTGGAGTGCAATGGTGCGATCTCAGCTCACTACAACCTCCGCCTCCCAGGTTCAAGTGATTTTTCTGCCTTAGCCTCCCGAGTCCCTGGGATTACAGGCACATACCACCACACCCGGCAAATGTTTTGTATTTTTAGTAGAGGCAGAGTTTCACCATGTTAGCCAGGTTGGCCTCAAACTCCTGACCTCAGGTGATCCGCCCGCCTAGGCCTCCCGAAGTACTGGGATTACAGGCGTGAGCCACCGCGCCCAGCTAGGCAAGGATTTCTGAAGGCAACGGTAAATTACAGAAAAGCAGAAGCTACAGGCAAAATCATAAAGCAATACATGGAGGTTAGACGCTGGTTTAGACCTAAAAGGGCAAGGATGTCTTGAAGCAGGAGCGTACGGTAGATTCAAAGATTTTCTGATTTGTAATTGGTTAAGGAAAAGAAGCTTTGTTTAAAAATTTAGAGTCAGTAGGAAAATGTGAACGGGCTGAGGGAAGTGACTTTCTCCAAGCCCCTCAGCAAGAAACTTAGCCCAAAGGATGCTGAAGCTCAGCCTTCACGCCCCCCTCATCTGGGGTCTCTGAGCCAGCAGCTCCGTTTGGTGGGGGTCCTCAGTGGGAGTCCCAGCCTCTGAAAGGCAACTCAGGGACGCATGTTAAGGCATTATCTTTAGTTTTCATGGGGAAAGCAAACATCTCTGGAACCTTAACTTCTTTGGCTGTTGGTTTAGGTTACTGTTACCTTCTTGTTTAACAAGTTCCTTATTTACTTTTGGGGCTAGCTGGCTGCCTGGAATTTCCCTTAAAGGAACTTCAAGATTTTGCTTTATTTTTCCATTTGGGGTTCACAGGCCCCTAAAAAAGGGAATTGCTGCTCCATCTCCAAGTCGGGGTCAGATGTAGCTAGTCATCGGGCTTGACTGGAGTGAGGGGACAGGGATATGTCCAAGAGAGCACTGCCTGTCAAGGAAGCTGCGTAAGGAAAGCCCCCGCAGCAGGAGAGAGGCTGCCATGTTCCCTGCACTGGGAACACAAGGATGGCTGAAGCTGAGACAAGAACAGGGAAAGAAGCTGGGCGTGGTGGTCACGCCTGTAATCCCAGCACTTTGGGAGACCAAGGCGAGTGGATCACCTGATACCAGAAGTTCTAGACCAGCCTGGCCAACATGGTGAAACCCCGTCTCTACTAAAATTACGAAAATTAGCTGGGTGTGGTGGTGCACGCCTGTAGTCCCGGCTGCTTGGGAGGACGAGGCAGGAGAATTGCTTGAACCTGGGAGGCGAAAGTTGCAGTGAGCCAAGATCGCGCCACAGCACTCCAGAGCGTCAGAGTGAGACTCCTCAAAAAATAAAAACAAAAACAAAACAGGGAAAGAGGTGTGACCAAGACCGAGAGAGAGGCAGAACCAGGCGAGGCCTCACTTCAGACTCTGTTCTCAGGCCAGTGGGAATACACTGAAGAGTTGTGGGTCGGAGAGTGATGCGATTTGCTTGTAGTGTAAGCATGTAGATAACAAGAACTTC